CGTCGAACAGATGGAAAGAAGTGGCGATGCTCGAGAGATGCTGTACCTGACCAAATATTGTGAAAGGCACATCAGCAGGGGCCGCCATCGTTCAAGAAAGCCTGTGGAAGGCCAGATTGGCCATATCGTCTCTGGATCCACCACAACAAAAGTGGTGCCGATTGCTTCCTCCCAATCAGCATCGGTAATATCCAGTGGTGGTGCATCCTACAACCTTGGAGCCATGCAGCACCAGTTCAACAGCTTACTGCCTAGATCTGCTAACCCTTCAACAAACACTCTCGTTAGCAGGTAAAAAAAAATACATTGTCTGCATGATCCTCCTTTAATTGTCTACTTCTTACAATTCATTTTAGGTTTTATAAAACTGATATTGATATGAAACAGTTTGCATCTGTCTAATATGTCTTCCTACTTTGTTACTTTTTGGTGGACCCCATTATTCCATCTTTACTTCATTGAAAGTGACAAGTCTTGGTAATAAAAGTTGAGATTCATCATGAGTCCCGTGTCCAGTTGCTATAGATTAAGATCTTTATTCTAACAAATGCATGGTTCTTCATTTATTTTCTTAATTGATACTTGTAGTTTTTGATTTCTTCACCCGTCCTTATCTATTTTTTATTTCATTTCCCCTGTTTTCTTAAATGTAATGGTAATAACCAAATGCTTGTCCCACTAGAAGAATCTTCAAGTTTGGAATGGCCTCCTCTGATTTGTAAATTCTTACACCAAAAAGTTCCTACATGAGTTCTTGAAACTAATTCTTTGCTGGATTTCAGTGACAGGGCAAAGCATGACCAGCATCCACTTGGTCATTTTTTTGGCAATTGGCCGAAGGACCATTCTGATCGTGCCTCTGTTGCCTGGATTGAACAACTGAAATCAGACTGGACCCAACTATCAATGTCGACCCCTATCCCTATGGCTTCCTCTGGTTTCTCGTCATCATCAAACTCTCCTCCACAGGACAAAGTCACCCTTTCACCATTAAGACTTTCTCGTGATTTTGACTCAATCCATATGGGTTTGGGGGTGAGTAATAATCCTAGAGAACCAGATGAAAAGCAAACAAATTGGATACCTATCTCTTCATTAGGGGGTCCATTAGGAGAGGTCTTGAATGGAACCTCTAGCACTCTGGGAGCCAACAAGAACACGTCGGCTCTGAACCTCGTATCTGAAGTTTGGGATGGTAACCCTCAGTTGGGATCTTCACCCACTGGTGCCTTGCAGAAGGTGACTAACAAGTAGGCCCTTGAGGCTGCTGCTAGCCTTTGTGATGCTGTGCTTGGTTCAACTATCGGAAGTTCCTCATCTATTCCATCTTTGTAATCGTATGATGCGATCATGGAAGAATTGAAGAACTTGAAAGAAGAGCAAGCCAAGTCCTAGAGTAGCTTGAGGAAGTTTTTTAGGTTTGAAGTAACTCAATGGATCTGTAATTTCTTCTTTTCTGTCTCTTTACAATGGTTTGCAAATGTTCTCAAAGGAGGGATTCAACCTAAATCTCGGGTGTGTTGCTGTCTGATTTACTGCAAATTATTCTACATTCGGTATTGCCTTAACATAGAAAAAATATTGGGTGTAACCCTTAACCTGAATGTGTTCAATTCTTCCAAGTTTGGCTTCATTCATGGTACATTCGAAGTAACAATTTACATTGGTGATGATCATTGTTGTTCAAATGTTGGGGCAAGTAGTGCCACCCCATTTCAATCTTTTGCTAACACTTGTTCCTCCTCCGTTTCGGTCTTCTCAGAAAACACGGTAGAAGTGCACAAAATCACATTTGAAGTGACAATTTACCAAAGTTGATTCAAAAGATTTAACAACAATAGTTTCTGCAAAATATTTATTTGAAATCCAGTTTTTGTTAAAAAAAGAAAAAATTGCACTAGCCGAGACTAGACAATCGGATTTTAAATCTATCTAATTCGAATTTGAATTCTATTCAGGTATCTTATATTTCACGAATTTGAATTGAGATATATTTATATTTGATTCGAATTATTTATATATTTTTATAATGGATTGGATTCTAAATCTAATCTGAATCTGAATCCTAATCGAATATCTTATATTTTACAAATTCGAATTTAAATATATCGATATCCAATCTGATTATAATTCAATCCAAATTATTTACATATTTTTTTTTATAAAATATTAAATGAATTAAATGATTCTTTAAAGAAATTTAATTCAAATTTAGGTATAATTTACTAAAATTTAATTAATTAGATTACTTGGATCGGATCGAACTTTTAGATTGAATTTCGGATTGTTAACAAATTTGGGTATAGACCACAAAAATAAACCATGGATTTATCGAATCGAACTTTTAAAATTAGATTCAAATCAAATCATTCAAAATTCAATCCAAACCCAATCTCTTCACATAGAACTATCAAGAACAAAGCCTGAAATTTGAACAAAAATTCAGAAAATAGAAATAAAAAATTAGGGACTACTAATTTTCAAAAAAAAAAAGAAAACTAAATTAGGGCAGAATATTGTATTGATAAATAGGGTAGAAAACAGTGGGAGGAATGCTCAGATTCTATGGGTGTAAAACAAGAGTCTTTCATGCCATTTTAGCATTCAGAACGAGGAATTTTACTTCTTATCATCGCATTCGCAACTCGCCCTCCCAAATTCTCTCCTTTCATAATCAATCAAAAACAACAATTAGTTAATTTAAGTACATATTGTAAAGAGGCTCAGACACGCACAAATGCGGTCATCATGTTGGAATTGGGTGCAAGTGAAATTACACCCAAAAATGAATACAAAATCAGATTCGAGAAATGATTTCTGTCTTCATCGCCTCTAAATTCTTCTAATAAAAAAACATATGAACTAAGAAATCAATCAAAAAATAGATCAGATTAGTATTGTATATATATATATATATATAACCAGAGAACCAGATAATGAAAGACGAACTCAAAAATTGGCGAAAAGTTCAAAGCCATCGAAATTCCTTAACGATGATTCATTGATTTTTAGATAACAGCGGAGGCTTTGAGGAAGAAAGGGTGTTTACGGGTTTTATACACTACCAAAAAACCTAACCCTAACCCTAGCAGACGGTGATGCACAAAAACGAAAGAGTTTCGTGAAACGCCGATCGTATCCTCTACTATTAAGTTTCACGAGTTGGGCCTAAAGTCCAGCTTTGTAGGCCTAATGTTGCCCCAAATCCAGTTTCTTCGTCTCCGGGCACCGGCCTTATTTATTTATTTTTCCCTCTAATTTAGGAGAAAATATTCATCACAATTCCTTTTTTTTAATATCAAAAAATTGGGAGCCAGTGCCAAAATGTTTCTATGCGTCTCTGATGTAAGCATAATCCTTTCTGGGCTTGGCATGGACCTGAGGTCTGGCCCAACTACTGAAGTTGGATCTGGAGAATCTGGCCCAACGTAATTAGCTCAATTAAGTTCAAAATTTTGTATCCGCTTCCAAATTCTGTAATTAAAAACTTACAATTGAAAAAGAGAAAATTACACCCAAACTTCCTGAGATTCGTCACTTAATCAATTAGATTCCTTGACTTATACAAAAAATCCCTTAATATTTGTATGTGTGAACTCCTACAGTAAATATCGGTTAATATGTCTATTACTAAATTATATTCAGACCTCTTAAAGTTTGTAGGTGTGTAACACTTAAACCTTTCAAGTTAAAATATTATACTTAAACCCCTTATTAGTTACGGAACTAATGAAATCCATTAAAAGATCAAATTATCCCAATTAAATATGGAAGATATTGCGTTCACTACAATTTGACCTGTTATTTGATTTTTTAGTTTTATTCCAATAGACAGTATAATTATATGCAACTGAGTATTGAATTGTATTTTTTGATATATTTTATACTTATTATAATTTTTCCTAAAAAAATTTAGATTTTATTTTATTTTTATGTCAATGAATGATATTATGGAACATGGATAAGCTAAAGTTAACTCCACAAAGAGTTGACTCCTGAAACTACTCTCCGGTCTACGATTTTATTTTAATAAATGACATAATATAATATAAATTTTGGTTGTAAAATTTAAAATAGTTAATATTCTATTTTTAATTAGAGTATTTTTGGTTTAAATATAATATTTTAAATTTGAAGTGTCTAAGTATTGCACGCTTGAAATTTTAGGGGTCAAAATATAATTTACCAGCGCACATTAATGACAAGAGTTTATGTGTTACATGCAGAGAGTTTTATGTAGTATAATATTTTAAATTGCATAGAGTTTAAGTAATTAAATGGAACCCTAAAAAATTTAGATATACTTTTCCCTTGGAAAAAATAGTGTATTATATTGAATGCAACCCTTAGGGAACTCAGTCAAGTTTGAATTCTGGGACTTAGCACTGAAAAGACAAGATGTTTGTATCTGTTTTTTTTTTAAATTTTTTTTTCCAATAATATATCTATGGCATAATCTAATTTAAATACAACAGAGGGGCAAAGTAAGTACGAAAAAAGAGGATAAAATTAATAAAACTCCTAAAGAGAGGGAAAAGAGCAATTAATAGTCGTCTTTTCACAAAGATAAACCCCTTGATCTCTTAGTTGGATAATCTTGACTGGACATTGAAAATTGATCTCTTGATTGAAATGGGGCTCATCCACACGAAGGAAAAAAAAGCCAAGAAGATTCAAACAGAAGTTACATTCCACCAACCTAAGAAATTAAAGAAAGAAGATCCCAATCTACTCTCATCACTGTCCCTGTGATGGACAACCTTGACTATTATCAGATTCTTCAATCCCTGCATGGTTTATTTCACACCTTGAAATTATGGATTTCAAGTGCAAAAGAGGATTGGTCCAATGGTAAGTATCTTTTATCTCTTATCAATAGTTATAAGGTTCGAATTTCAGTAACCCGGTCATCAGTAATATCCTTCCTTGAAATTATAAATATATTCTTCGCTCAGATAGTTTGTCACACACCTTCAATTAACATGACCTACGAAGAAACATACATGATATTGTACTAGTAAATTATACTGGACATTTAATTAATTTCACTATGCCAGTATTCATTGCCGGAGGAGCACCCTTTCTTTGTTCCTTCTCTCTGGCTTCCTATCAACCAGCCTAACCTTCGGTTCTGTAACCAAGTTTTTCTTTCTAACCCTTTATGTACTTTTTCTTCATCCATGTTTTTTATTGAATTTTCCTCAAGCGTGGTGGGGCAAACGACACCCCCCTTATGTCTAACTCTAACTAAAGACGAATAGTTGGCATTGCTAGCTAATAGAGAGCTATCCGTCCATTTGAGCCGTTGCTAGCCAGAATGTATCAATAATTATATCAATAATTTAAAATAATATTGATATTTATATTTATATTTTTTATATCTATTGCTAAAAAATAAAACAAAGGAAAATATATAAATAAATTTCGTAAAATATATGCCTGACTACGAAGATTCAAACAACAGTTACATACTACCTGCCTAAGAAATTAAAGAAAGAAAGATCCCAATATCCTCTTAAGGTGGGCACAATAATAAATTTTAATTTTTTTTATCAATATTGTAGACTTAATTTAATGTAATTGTTGTTTTAGTTGTAAATTTCAATGTTAGATGAAATCTACTTTCAATCAAATTAGATCTAAATAATATTTTTCATTTTTTTTTCAATCGACCACAGATGTTCAAAAATTCATAATTACTATAATTATGTGTAAAAAATTATTAAACATAAAAGGTTAAAAAACGATCGATTTACATAGAATAAACAAACAAAAAATAAAAATAAATTAATTAGAATTTCGTATGAGACTAATTATTATTATTTTACAATTGAATTTGATTATTGTTTATCATTTAAAAGTATTATAAATCAATGATATCAATAAATACTTTTTTTTCTATACAAAATAGTAATATCAGCTTTTCATTTATTACCCTGTAATTTATTACATGATGGCGCTCATTTTTATACAATAACAAAATAATCTCATAATTTAGAAAAATGACCGCGATATGTCTAAAAATTATTCGGACATGTCTGTGTCTAAAAATTTAAGAATAATAGTAATTGCACATAATTTAAAATTTAATTTTATATCTTGACCCCAAAAAAATCAAAATTTAATTGGTAGGAACCCAATGATTTTTGACCATTGGATAGATAATAGAGGTTATTAAATATAGGGGACTCATTATTAGAATTAATATCATAATGTATTAGTTCCAATAACATTATTTAAAAATTAATTATTATTTAAGTACCTGACTATCTTAATCAATATCACAATAACACAATAATAAGGTGAACACAATTAAATATGTCTAAATTTTATTGTAAAAAATATATGTTTAATGTAAAAAAAAAATTGAGGATGAACACAATTAAATATATCTAAATTTTATTTTTAAAATATATATATCTAATATTAAAAAATAAATAAAATTTAAAGGGCGTGGTCCAAGGGTGGCTCCGCCCCTGATCATCAATGTCCCAGCGATGGACAAGCTTGAGTATTACGAGATTCTCCAACATCCCCGCTTTGATACTGAGTCGAGAATGAAGATGATTG